GAGGGAGGAGGGGCCGGGCTTGCGTTTGGGTGGGCACGGGGAGGGCTCCCCTGGCAGGAGGGGGTGCACGAGCCAGGAAGGTGAGCCAGCCAGGGGCCGGCCGGAGGTGATGCTGAGGCCACAGGCAAATAAAGGAAGGGGGTAAGGCTGCCTGCCCCCCAACCCCAGAGCTCCCAGACCCACCCAGGATCCAGGGATTCCTACCAGGGAGAGCAGGCACGCGCCCCTCAAACCCAGTTTCCTGAGGCCCAAGGCCCAGTGGGGCTGGAGACCTAGGCCCTGACCCCCCGCATGGCAGCCACTGTGGGGGAGGCCGGGCCAGCCTGCCTCTCAGCCTAGGCTGCGTGTGCTCCCACCTGGGAAGGGGGCGGGGCCCGGGGGGAGGGAAAGGCTGCGGCATTCCCCTCCCGTCGGACAGCCCGGGCGCCTGCTCAGGCCTGTTCCCAGACACACAGGCAGGAAGGGCTGCCTGCTGGCACGTTGGCGGGGCTGGGATCCAGGGTGGGTGGCCCTGGGCCACAGCCCTCCCCCTTCTGAGCCTGTGGGCAGCGGCCTGACCCCAGGGCCATGCCGGCAGTTAGAGACCATCGGGGCCGGCACCTAGTGCCAGGCACACAGGTCGGTGCTCACAGGCCCCGACACAGGTCTCAAGCCTCGGTCTGAAATCCCTCTGAACCAAGTCGGGCCTCGGGGAAGAGGCTCTGGTTTCCAGGAGAGGTGTCCTACCGGTCACTCTCCGGAGGCCCCTGGCCCGGCCCGTCTACCCACCCATGGCCAGCCAGGCCCACACGTGTGCCCCGCGCATGTGGGTGCCCGTGCACAGGCATGAGCGAGCACGCTTTCCTCCGAGCTCTGTGCCCGGCCTGCGTGTCCCTGGCCCCTCTCCGGAGGCCTCCCCAGCCCGCAGGCCTGCCAACCGCGGGCTGGCACTGTTTCTAATTACGCAGCTAGTGCACCAACAAAGCAACCGCCATCTCCTAGGCTCGCCAGCCCCTGCACAGGGCGCCTGTCCATGGCTCCTCAGGGACACACGGGGGCTTCCCCTCAGGCCGGCCAGCAGCACACAGCCTGGTCAGCCTCCGTGTGCACCTGGGGTGATCCGACTCACCCCTGCCGCCTGGGAACAGCCTTTCTGAGCAGGGCTGGAGCAGCCATCCCTGCGGACCCACCAGGAGGCCGTGGGGGCAGACAGAGGGCAGGAGGGCCTGGCTGTGTGAGGCTGCGCGGGGCAGGTTTGGGACAGGGAGGCTGGGGCCAGGGCGGAGCATCGTCCCAGGGAAGAATTCAGACAATTCTAACCCCATACGAAAACCAGGGAGGCAACAGGAGAGGGGCCTGGCTGTGTGCCCCCTTCTCAGGCCTCAGGGCTGGGATGCACGAGGCTTCCAGAAAGCAGGGAGCTGGGCTGGGCAGCCTTTGAGATCACAGGCTTTGAGGTTGGCAGACCAGGCTCTGGGCCGCAGAGCCGCCGTGGGCTGTGGAGAGACAGTGGCTCCTTGGAACCTGGGTTTACTCGTCTGAAAGCAGGCGACGCACCGAGACCCTCGCCTGATGCACTAACTGGACATTGACCCCAAGTCCAGCTCGCAGCCAGGGCTCATCTCCAGGGCGGAGCACCATCCCTGCAGGGCTCCGAGTGGCCTCTGCGGACCCCAGGGCAGGCGCAGGGGGAGGGCGCAGCCCGGGCAGCATGCTCCTTGTCCCAGGAACCTTCGGGGACAGTACAGATGGCTGCCAGTGTCCTGTGTCCGGGAACGGGCAGAGAGAGGCTGTGCGGGGTGAGAGGCCAACTCGGCAGAGGCGCAGGGGGACAAACTGCCACGGAGAGGTGGCCGGCACAGAGGCTTCAGCGAGGGACCCGGGACCATTGCATCACGCAGGGGCCCTGTCAGACCCTGGCTCCCTGGGGCCCTCGTGTGCCCCTCCAAGCCCTGTCCCCGGGCCCGGGATGATGAAACCTCAGCTCTGTGAGTGGAGCAGAGACAGGGCGAGAGGCAGGGCCAGAGGCACAGACCGCCATGGCACCCACACCAGGCCCCTGCCTCCCACCCAGGACAGGGACCCTTTGGGTCTGCAGGTGTGCTGTGGACCAGGTGACCAACAGCCTGCTGTGCAGCTTGCTGACCGTGGCTGAGGAACAGACCTCGGGTGGTTTCTAGAAAACGTGGGGGACGCCTGGGGCTTCTGAGCACCCCCTCAGGATCCGTGCCCTCAGCATGGGTGGTCAGAGTGGGCACAGAGAAGCCAAGATTTCCACTGAGGGACCTGCAGGCGCCCACCCCCGAGCCTGGGGCAGAGGCCAGCTTGCGGGTAGCACAGACAGCCCAAGCCCGTCTCCTGTCCCGGCGCCGCCCGCTCCGCAGAGCCTGCAGCAGGATGTGCGTTGAGTCCCCGTGAGCAGTGGCCCAGAACCTTCTTGGCACCAGGAGCCGGGCCAGGTTCTGGGGCTACAACTGCGAAGGGTGCAGACAGGTGCCCCTAACCCGGGACCCCAGGGAAGGGTCAGAGAGACCCAGGACACGTCGCCAAGTATCAGAAGGCCAGACAGGTGCCCAGGAAACGTCAGGGGACCAGAGGCAACACCCACCAGCGTGCACCTGTGATTCAGCACCTCAGGAGGAGCCAGCCGCCAGCCGAGCTCCACTCACACCCCGGCCTGCGTGTGGCGTTCTGGCCTGAGGGGGGCCTCGGGTGCTGCTGCCCACAGGCCTGCCCCATGGCAGAATGACAGACAGCTGTCGCTCACACCCCACTGCCTCCTCGTCCAGCCACAGCCGCTTCTCATTCCCCTGGCAGAGGCCGAGAGGCCAGCCTGGGCCCAGTGCCCCCTCCCTGTCCCCCACCCTCCTGCACGAGGAAGCAGCCCGCCCGGTCTGGGCCACTGAGCAGGTACCCCGGCTGGAGTCCAGCTGCCGGCGGGCAGGCGAGGGGACCCAGGAGCAGCGTGCCTCTGCTGGGCCACCAGAGGGCACCCGGTCCGCAAAGGCCCAGCTGAGTCACACGGAGCAGGAGGGGACAGGGCTGGTGGCCGCTGCCCTGGGAGGTCATGGGAGTGCCCCATGTAGCACTGGCGCTGTCCTGGGCACCTGGGCCCCGTAGGGCACTCTGGAGTTCCGGGGCTCATGGGGGCAATGGGGCTATGGGGGTGGGGGGCGAGGGTCTAACAGGGCAGGCAGCTCCCCTGGTGAAGGGGCCATGGGGACTGGCGGGGAGGGGACAGCCCCTGCATTCCGGACCCAGGGCAGGGTGGCGCCTGCAGCCCTGGCTGACCATCAGCCAGGATGATTCGGGGACAGCTGCTGTGTGGCCGCGCTCCCCCACAGGCCGGACGGCCCCGCCCCCACCCATCCCCCACACAGCAGCCCCCTTTCTCACCCTTGGCCTCTAACCTGCTGCATCCTCCAGCCCAAGGGGGTTAAGACCCAGCCCCTCACCACCCCCACCTGGGCCTCTCCAGTTCCCCAGCTCTGTCCTAGCCCTTGGTGGCCCCCCAGACTCTGCCGGCTGTCTCCCAGCCTAACTGGGAGGGAGCCCTGTGGGTGTGCGTTTAGCGTGGTCCCCAGGGACACACGGCTGAGTGGGAGTGGACGCGAGTGGGAAGGCAGCAAGGATGGCTTCCACCCGAGACCCAGGGCTGGGGGCAGCAGAGGGGCCCCACAGGACAGCCAAGGACACCCAGCCCAAAAATTCCTGTGTGTGGGGGGGGTGGAGCATGGGCCACGCAGGGCAGCTGGCCCGGGACACCTCCAGCCCCTCCCAAGGAGAGAGCCCCCCCCCACCCCAACGCCTGGCCCATTAGCAGAAGCAGGCACAGGCACGCCTGCCTCTGGCTCCTGAGGGACAACCCCTCCGGAACCCGGGGACTGAGGGGCGTTGGGGTGGGTGCATCTCTCCGGGCAGCCTGCTGAGCCCCTGCTCCCCCTGGGAGCCAGGTGGGGGGCCCAGCTGTCCCCCCACCCGCTACCAAGGAGACAGGCTCTGGACCTGGTGCACTCCCCTCAGGGCCGTGGCCACTGCACATCCCCCATGTACTGTTCCGAGTGTGGCCCTTACCTGTTCCCAACCCCATCTGGGAGCGGTCCCCAGGACAGGAAGCTGGTCTGCCCTGCTCTGGCCAGGCACCCCACACAGACCCCGTGTGGCTGCCAGCAGGGCCACCACCTAGGATGAAGTTCAGGGGTCCTTGGGACACTGCTGTCCCCAAAGCTCTTCAGTGGCCAGCAGGGAGGGGGCCGGCAGGGCTGCCAGACAGCTGCTGGGCTAAAGCCCCCTGGGAGGGTCGACGCTGTTTCAAAGAAATGACACGGCCCCTGGGAGGGACCCAAAATGCCGACCACCTGCCGCTGGACTCCCAGGGAAGTGGCTCCAAGTGCCAGGCAGGCGAGCTGGTGGGCAAGCGCAAGTTCCCGGGTGGAACTTCTGCCAGGCAGCAGTCCTGGGCACAGGGCAGGGGCCGCCCCCCACACTCCCAACTCCAAGGCTGCCTTTGCTGGAACCCCGTGGGAACCCCAAGTCCACCGACGGCACCTTCCGGAAAGGCCCACAAAGTCCGGTGAGAGTTCCCAGCCCGCGGCCACCGTCAGCTGCTCCGCGGCAGCCACCACGCAGCTCAGCCCTGGCCAGAGGCGAGGGTGGCCGGCGCGCCCGCTGCGTCTGGAACTCCGGCCCCGCCGCCGCGCTGGAGCTGTGGCCCTGGAGGAGCGCCGAGCGGGGCGGCCCCTGCACAGCCCAGCGAGGACAACTCCACGGGGAGGGGGCCGGGGAGCCAGTTAAGGGTTGGTGGCGACCTAACAGAGCGACGAGAGGGCGACGCGGGGCCCAGGGGTGAGGGCCCGAGCGGGTGCGGGCAAGCGGAGACGCTGGGAGCTACTCGGAGCCCAGGCGGCCGGCACAGGCGGCGGGGTTGGGAAGCCCCGGGCACTTAGCCGCGCAGGGCCGACCAGGGGACGCAGAGGCAAACGCGAGCGCGCAGGGGTACGAGACCCGCAGCCCTGACTCACCGGAGATCTCTGCCTGGGGCACGTCGCTCAGGCTGAAGCCCTTGGCGCCGTAGATCTGCCGGACTTCGCCGCAGCTCCGGCTCTTGCTGGCAGGGTCCCCGTGGGCGCAGGAGGCCAGTGCGGCGGCCGCGCACAGCAGCCACCAGCCGCCGGCCCGGAGCTCCATGGCGGGGCCGAGGCGCTGCCGGTCGCCTGCCGCGCCTCTCTCGGGTACGGTGGGGCCCGCGGAGCCCCCGCCCGCGAAGGGCAGAGCCAAGGTCCCTACGCGCGGCTCGTGGTCCGCAGACGGCGGCGGCCGAAGAGGCGGAGACAACAAAAGCCGGCGGCAACGCCGAGCGCGCGAGGCTCGAGGACCGGCCGCTAGGTCTGGCCGCCCAGCGCAGCGGGCGAGCGCGCAGTCCGGGCTCGGCACCTCCCCCGGCCCGGCCCGGCCCGGCCCCTCGGCCGCCTCGGGGAGGCGGGGAAGGCGGTGCAGGGGAGGGGCGCGCAGGGCGGGAGCGGGCGCCCGGGGCGGAGCGCGGGGCGCGGGGCGCGAGCGGGGCCCGCTGGGCGCTCCTGCTCTCCCCGAGGACTTGGGGGTCCAGTGGTTCTCGTCGGCCAGTCCACTGCCCGAGGGAGGGGAGGCGGCGGGGGCGAGCACGGGCTGCGTTCGGGGGTCCCTGAGGGCGGCCACACGCCCAGCGCCCAGGGCGGCGGTACCACCTGTGGGGGCGGGGCGGGCGGGGGCGCGGAGGCTGGGCTTCCCCGCCGGACGTGACGTCACGCCACCCGCGCGCCTATCAGGGGCCGCCGGGCCCGCAGCCGAATTCAGCATCCCTTGCATCCCGCCCCCACCGGCTCGCCCGGCTGTCCCGCACCCTGGCAGCGCGCCTTGGTCAACTCCCGGGCGCCCGCGTCCCCTCGGCCCGCTGCCCACACCGCCGTCCGCCGCCCCCCTCCTCGCCTGCACCCCCTTACCCCACCCCCGCCCCGCTCAGCGCCTCTCCCAGCCCCCCTGTCACACCTGGTGTTCTCGCGGGGGACGGTGGGGGGACTGTACGCGGGAAAGTAGCCAAGAGCCTCCACCCGCCCGGTCCTTGCTCTATAGAGGGGGACACGGACACTTAGTTGGTGGGGGTCTCCAGCCTGTGTTTGGTGCCCTCCACGTGGTTCTTTGGATGCTCAGGAAACAAAAGCGCCGTGGACTGTTGGCCTGGGCTGCGGGGCGGAGGCAGGCGGTCCCTTGGAGAAGGGACGGGGCTGCACAGCAGCAGGTCAGACTGCTGGGGAACGAGGAGCGCGGAGCGGGACAGAGACTGGCCGGTCCGGGGGCAGCTCCTCCGGTCTTTCTCCCTGGTCTGCTGCTCCCCTCCTCCACCCCCCCTCCCCCGCCTCGTCCTCTTCCCTTGGCCTATAGGCGAACCCCACAGAGACCAGCAGGCTTGGCCAGACCACAGCCCCGATGCCTGATTGGCTGAAATGGGAGGGAAGCAGTAGGTCTGTGCCCTTGGCCGAGGGTACTCAGATAACCACCACGTGGGTGGGAGGAGGCGGGGCGGGAGCCGCAGGGACCCACGCACACAGGCTCCCCCCATCACTGGCCTGCCCCCCAGTGTGTCGGCTTTGTGAGCTGCCTCCCAGAACGGGCTGCTCCCCTCACTGGGTGACAGGGGTGGGGGGTTCATCTTGCCCCTCCACACCTGCCGCCTCACCGAGGGTGACTCACGGGCTCCCCCGCCATGCGCGTCAAGGCCTGCTCCTGCTTGCCTGGGCCAGGGCACCTTCCCAGCGCCTGCCTGGCTGAGGCCACCCAGGGCAGGGGCGAGGGACTCCTCTTCACACAAGCTCACTGCCAGCCCCGATCTTCCAGATCAGACAGGAGCCAGCCTGGGGCTTAAACCCCACCGGATGCTGGAGAGTCGCCCACTCTTCCTCTCCTGGCTGTTGGGGGCATCCCTGCCGCCTCCTCTTTATCCAGGCCTGCAGGGAGGTTCCTGGGGTCAGTGGCCCCCAGACAGGAGCAGGGCCCGGTGGGCCCGTTCAGGGCTGCAAAGGCTCCACCCCCGCAGGGCCACCTTGGACTCCTACTGCACAGTCCACTTGCAGCGGGCCCTCCCCTGGTGAGGACACTACCCCCAGCCCATTCTGAGCCCTCATTGCAGAGGCCTGGGCGCCTGTGCAGTGAGGAAGGAGGCCGGGTCCTGCCCCGAAGAAGACGGGGCGGCGTGGCCACGGGCAGGCAGCAGGCCCCTTCTTGCTCTGGGGTCTGGGGCTCTGGCCCTGTACTGCTCCCCGTTGGGTGGCTTCCTGGGTGGTCAGATTCCTGCACACTGGAGGTCGGGGCTGGGCCGGGCTGAGGTGCGGGTGGGGCTGTGCCCGGGGAAGCAGCCGCCAGCCCGCCTGAGGGACAGAGCGGGTGGAAGGCAAAGTCTCAGTGTCTGAACTGGCGCTGGCTGATCATGGTCCTGTCCTGAGCAAAGGATACAGAGGCCTGCATTCAAGTTCAAACCAGACCCCACCGCCGACCAGCCGTGTCGTTTGGGCCTCGGCGCTCAGCTTCGTTTCCCCGTCACCCCCGTGTGGATTCGGGAGAGGAGGCGAGACGGGTGCTCTGTGCCAGGACCCAGGGTGGAGCCAGCTCTGGGGGGCCAGGGGCCACGCCGCAGTTTCAGTCCATGGGCTCGAGGGACGGCAGGCGGGGCAGTCCTCCCAGCTCTGGGCAGGGCCGGCCCCGGCCAGAGAGCCTTGATGACGCGGAGCCGGGAGGCCAGGTGCAGGGACCACAGCTGCTGGGGGTCAGAGCTCGAGGTGGCTCTGCCGAAGCTGCTGGAGGCCCACAGAGCCTCCAGGGGGTCCCTGCCCGGGGTGGGGGGGGCACTTCTGTTTCAGAGGCAGGGACGCTGTTCCGGGGCTCCCCCTCCAGTCACGTGGCTGGAGGAGCGGCCCTGGGGCCACTGTGCTGTGCTGGCTCGCCCTGGCCCCACGGAGGCCTGGCCGCTCAGCTTGGACCAGGATGCCGCTGGCCAGGCTGGGGACACATGGCACCGGCAGCCCTGGTGTGGGGAGACAGGGCCCGTGGTGCCGTGAGGAGGGACCGAGGGAGCCAGTTGTTAATCTCCTGGTTGCTCGGGGGAGTGAGGCCTGGTGCCGGGGGGAGAAGAAAGGGCTGTTCGGGGTCTTGGGAGTGGGAATGTGGGCGCACCCATGCTTCTGTCTCTTTGAGGAGTGACCCCAGTCCTGGAGGGCAAACCCGCCCCCCCACTTCCTGCCTCGGCCTGGGCGGGGGGTGGGGGGTGGGGGGGCAGGCAGGGCCCTGACAGCTCAGAGGACACAGGGAGCAAGCCGGTCGCCACTGCCTCCTCCCTCAGAAACGGCTCCACTTCCGCTCCCTCAGGAGTCCTGCACATCAGGGCTCCCCTTGCCCAGCTGTTCGGGGCTGTAGGGTGTGTCTTCTGTTGGGGGTCTTTTGGCACCCCCAAGGTTTCCAAGTAGACCCAGCAGTGAAGGCAGTTTCCACCCCACATGCCCCCAAACACCCCCCTGCTGGCCGTCCGGTGCACGGGGCCCGGATGCGCTGGGCCGGCTGAGCCGCAGGATGGACAGTACACGGGCACCCGCTCCTGCACAGGTGGCCAACCTGTGCCAGGCTCCACCTCCCTGCAAGCCCTGGGAAGAGGGTGACTGGCTCAAGGTGACTCCTTGGTAGCCCCTCTGCCTTTGATTAGCCTGGGCAGGCCTCTCTCGTCCCCACATAGCAGAGGGGAAATCGATTTAGAGCGAGTGGCTAGGTCACCCACAGGAGTAGTGAGTGGCACCCATTTCTCGGGCCCCTGTGCTGGGCTGGAGGCCGGGTCCCCCGTGGCCAGGAGCTGCCCGCACCTCCTGGACTGCCACTGGCCTCCCTAGTCTGCAGGGCCAGGCTGGTTGTTCCAGAACCAGCTGCGGTCACGAGCCCGGGATAAAGCCAGAAGCAGGTGCCCACGGCTGCTGGCTGTCACCCACACCTTGCCTCGCAGCTGTCCCTCCCATCGAAACAACACAGACCCTCTGCCCATCCCAGACATCCCTGCTGGCCTGCCGTCGTCCCTCGTCTCTGGGCCGGCCCGAGGTCACATCCAGCTCCAGAGGCAGCTGCCGCCAAGGGCCATGTCCGTGGGGCCCCCGTCAGCCCCACCTCATCTCAGGCTGACCCTCCTCTGAGCGCCTGTACCCAGGCCAGGTGCCCTGTGTGGGGGCCCACACACCTGCGTGGCCTGCGGGGCCATCCCGTGGGGACGAGACACACCTCTCAGGAATGTTTGGGATGCTGCCCAGATGAGAGGTGCCGACCTTCTAACGGAGCTGCAGTCACCAGCCAGCCTGCTGCTGACCCCTCTGGTGGCCTCGGCAGGACCCCAGCCTGGGCTCACGTCCTCTTGGCCACAAGCTCCTTCCCAGCCTGCCTGCCGACCTTCTGGAAGGAGCAGCTCTCGCTGAGTGACCGTTTCTAGGCCCCCCGCCCCCCGAAAACCGCCCACACTGGGCGAGCTGATTTACATGCACCTCGGAGACACCTGTGGAGACGTCACCTGCGGCCTGGGCTGGAAAGCCCAGAGCCCCCTGCAGTGCTGGGTGGGGGGCAGCGCCTGTGTGCATTGGCTCCTGCGTGGCGATGCGTGTGGAGAGCGGGCTGGCTGGGATCCGGAGCCCTACTCCGCGCACGCCCAGGGGGTTCACGGGGAGGGCTCCGCCCACTTGGGCCGAGGAAGCGGGCTGAGCGTCGTGGGTGCTGCTGTCCGGCAGGGTCCAGGGCATGTGACCCAGGACCTGAATTTAAAGCCTTGAGTGATGTGTGCACGTGTGATTATTAAAATTTCAAATTCAAAAGCTCGTGAGCAAAAGGGAAAGTCCTGTTCAGGCCCTGATCCCACTCCCCCACCCAGAGCGATGGAGGCCAACTGCGGTCGTGTTCTGGAACGTTCCCTGGGTTCTGGAGGGGGGGCCGTTCATGCGGCCGGGGGGGGGGGCGGGCAGCTGTTCTTTTACCGAAATCTAAGTCCGCACTCAATCCACACGGCCCTCCCTTGTCTTCTGTCGGTTCCCTGGGTTTGAACACTGCGCTGCCCTGTAACCCTGCCCGTGCGGGGGCGGGGGGTGTTATTCCCCCCACCCCAGGCCTTCTGCGTGCACTCGACCTCTCGCAGGACAGGTGACCAGAAACCCTCAGCTGAGGGGCAGGTGAGCCAGCAAAGACCGCCCTCCAGAAAGCGGGGCCTCGGCAGCTCCGGGGGCCCACGGGCACTGGCTGCTGGCTGACCTGGGGATGAGGCGTGATCTCTCCCACGTGTCCCCACCTGTGCACCGAGAGGCTGGGCCACGGGCATGTCCTCGTGGTCTCCTCAAGTCTGCTGCCATTTTCACCTTCGTCACTGGGCTTCTCTGCACTGATTCTGGGGATGCTTCTCGGGCTGAAGACCTTGGCCTGGGGTCTGGCTGCGGTCCCAGCCCCTCCACTCTGCGCCAGGACGTGAGATGCTGGGAAGGCCATGTCTCTCTGCTCGGAGCCTCGTCTGACCTCCGCGCCTGTGTCCAGGCCACGCTGCTTACGAGCCCATCATTTGATAGGATGCCTATCTCTTGCTTTCAAAAATTCTTGGCTGTGTTTTTAATGTCCTCTGTGACAACTTTGGATTCAGCCTGTCAAATCTCATAAATAACAGACGGAAATCGCCCT